TTTTACTTCTGCAGCAGGAGACATTGGCCTTTGCCTGACCTAGGTCAAGAGGGAAACCATCCAGCTATTGTGTCATGCTGGGAACCAGCCCTGGGTGTGACTCAGAGACAAAGGAGACAGTGGCCATTTCAACATTCTTTGGGTTGTTGTAGGTTTCTCAGGCTGCATGGCCATGTTCTAGAAGCATTCCCTCCTGATGTTTCACCTGCAATTTTGGGAGGTATTCTCAGAGGTTTTGAGGTCTGTTGGAAACTAGTGAAATTGGGTTTATATATCTGAGGAAAGTCCAGGGTGGGAGAAAGAACTCTTGTCTGTTGGAGCTAGATTGGAATGTTTTAATTGGCCACCTTGATTAGCATTTGATGGCCTGACAGTTTTTAAGGTGTGCCTTCTTACTGCCTGGGCCAATTCTTTGTTGAGATTAGATGTTCCTGATTGTTTCTTCTACAGCTAATCACCTCTCTGAGGATGCCTGCCATAGATGCAGGCAAAAAGTTAGGAGAGAATGCTTCTAGAACATGGCCATAGAGCCTGAGAAACCTACAACAACCCAGTGATTCCGGCCATGAAAGCCTTTGACAATATATTCAACATTCTTCATTTGGATGACCTGGGGAAAGACATTTAAATCATCCCATCATCTCCATCCCCAGAAATCCAAAGACAAAGCCAAGAACAGCAGCTACCATATTTGGCTTTGATTACGTTTTCTTGCCCTAGTGAAGAGAGTTGGACTGGATGGCCTTAAGTATTTTCTGTTGGTCATGGGGGTTCATTGTGGGAAATTTGCCTCAATTCGGTCGTTTGTAGGATTCAGAATGCTCTTTGATTGTAGGTGAACTACAAATCCCAGTAACTAGAACTCCCAAATGTCAAGGTCTATTTTCCCCAAACTCAATCTGTGTTCATATTTGGGCATTTTGAGTATTTGTGCCAAGTTTGGTCCAGATCCATCATTGTTTGAGTCCACAGTGCTGTCTGGATGTAGGTGAACTACAACTCCCAAACTCAAGGTCAATGCCCATCAAACCCTTCTAGTGTTTTCTGCTGCCCATGGGAGAACTGTGTGTCAAGTTTGGTTCAATTCCATCATTGGTGGTGTTCAGAATGTTCTTTGATTATAGGTGAACTATAAATCCCAGCAACTACAACTCCCAAATGACAAAATCCTTTTTTTGAGTGAAGGACATACATTGGGTTGTTAGGTGTCTTGTGTCCAAATTTGGTGTCAATTTATCCAGTGGTTTTTGAGTTCTGTTAATCCCACAAACGAACATTACATTTTTATTTATATAGATGATTTTGTTTATGGTGGTGCTGTTTATTTTTATTGTGTTATGTTTTTGTTTTTTTTATTTGTTGTGTGCTGCTTTGAATCTTGATCCAGGAGAAAAATGGAATAGGAATAAATATTTTTCCTTTATGCTTGTACTTTTGGGCAGGAGCCCACATATATCCATTTTTGGCCATGAATGCATTAAAATGCCTCTGTCCTTTGTCTTTGCCTTCTGGGGAGTCTTTAATGTGGAAGTTTGGTTATTAATTTTGGTTAGTAATGCATGCCAGGCAGACCCTCTCATTTTATTGCGGTCTAAAGTCCATATCATATTGGGGATAAAATTACCTTCAGACTGCATATATAAAACATTTCATGTTTGGACTTGGGTCCCATCTCCAAGATATCTCATGATGTAAATGCAAATATCTCCAAATCCAAAGCACTTCTGGTCCCAATTATTTCAGATAAGGGATACTCAATGTGTAGTTCACACAACCTGCAGTTAATGTTTGGACTTCCTGAGGACCGATAGCTCAGAAGCTCAACACATTATGTGAAATGCTGATTAGAGTGAAGATTCTTCCACCCCATGGACACTATTAAATAATTAGGGGAAGTCAAACATTTCTGCTGTTCTGCCTCTAAACCAGTGCCTATAATCAGTGATGGACTGGATGAGGGTTAACAAGTTGAAATTAAATCCAGACAAGACAGAGGTACCCCTGGTCAGTCGGAAGGTGGATCAGGGTGTCAGATTACAGCCTGTATTGGATGGAGTCACAGTCCCCTGAAGATGCAGGTCCGCAGTCTGAGCAAGATCCTGGATTCATCGCTGACCCTGGAAACCCAGGTGTCAGCAGTGGCCCGTAGTGCCTTTGCACAATTAAAACTTGTGCACCAGCTGCACTCATACCTTGAGACACCAGATCTCACCATGGTAGTCTGCGCCTTAGTCACATCCCACTTAGACTACTACGACGCTGTCTACATGGGGCTGCATTTGAAGATAGTTTGGAAGCTTCAAAAGGTTCAAAGATTGGCAGCCAGATGATTAAATGTAGCTCCATACAGGGAGAGATATACTCCTATGTTACAGCAGCTCCACTGGCTGCTGTTCCCATTCCAGGATAAATACAAAGTGCTGTTCATCACTTTCAAAGCCCTAAACCACTTGGGTCCAGGCTACTTGACCAATTGCATCTCCTCTTACAAATCAGCTTGGGCACTGCAGTCAGTGGAGGAGGCCCTGCTCTCGGTCCCAACCCCATCTCAAGTATGACTGGTGGGAAAGAGAGAGGGCCTTCTCCCTGGTCACCAGGCATGTAGCCGGGGGGGGGGGGGGGGGCTTGAGGCTTCAGCCCCCCCCCCCGAAATTCTCATGGTGGTTCGCGAAAAGGCCTTACTGGTGCATTATTTAAACTGTTATGTTTGTTCATATCATGATCTGATCACCATACTCAATATATCCCATATGCATGGGGGTATTGGGGTAACGATACAAAAGGTTTGCTAGGGTAGACCCTCTTTCACTCAGACCCAGCCCCCCACTCCCCCCCCCCAAAACCCTGAAAAAACTCAGCCCCCCCCCGAAATCAAACTCAGCTACGGGCCTGCTGGTCATCCCTTCCTCTGGAACTCCCCCTCTAAAGAAATAACACTGCTCCCTCCTTCCTCTCCTTCAAAAAACAATTGAAGACTCATCTTTGCTCATTAGCATATGGAGTGGAGGAGGATTAGACATTGAGAGATTCCTACCGGACCTCTGGTTGAGAACTATTTTGTACTCGGGCTTCTCTAGTCTATGTCAGGGCAGTTACAATCTCTGGCCATACAACCACTCTGGACACAAAACCAACCTACTCAATTTTATGAACGATAGTTGGCTTTTATAAATTAATCTGAATGTTTTATGTTCAGACTTTACATCATTGTATAGTTCTTGTTTGATTATGATTGGTTTAATGTATTGATCTCAGGTTCTAATTCCCTATATCTCGCTTTGGTTAGACCACACCTGGAATATTGCGTCCAATTCTGGGCACAATTCAAGAGAGATATTGACAAGCTGGAATGTGTCCAGGGGAGGGCGATAAAATGATCAAGGGTCTGGGGAACAAGCCCTATGAGGAGCGGTTTAAGGAGCAGGGCATGTTTAGCCTGAAGAAGAGAAGGCTGAGAGGAAACATGATAGCCATGTGTAAATATGTGAGAGGGAGCCACAGGGAGGAGGGAGAAAGCTTGTTTTCTGCTTCCCTGGAGACTAGGACACGAAACAATGGCTTCAAACTACAAGAAAGGAGATTCCATCTGAACATGAGGAAGAACTTCCTGACTGTGAGAACCGTTCAGCGGTGGAACTCTCTGCCCCAGAGTGTGGTGGAGGCTCCTTCTTTGGAAGCTTTTAAACAGAGGCTGGATGGCCATCTGTCAGGGGTGATTTAAATGCAATATTCCTGCTTCTTGGCAGGGGGTTGGACTGGATGGCCCATGAGGTCTCTTCCAACTCTTTGATTCTATGATTCTATAATGTTGTTTTAATATGTGGGGCTTTTCTGGAGGTATAATGTTAGTACATTATAATGTTGGGAAATCTACTCCAACATCGCCCTTCTCATAATGATACCACAGGCACTCCAAATGGCCAGCTTCTGGTCAAACGACCTTTACCTAGCACAATGCCACGTTTTTTAAAAACGTTTGTGTTTTTAAATATATTTTAACTGAACCCGCAACATACTTTTGACATGATAAATAAAGAAATCCAAAATCACATTCCTTTTGGAGTGGAAAGATTTGGCGAGTTCTGGTTCAACTTTCCAAGCCCTCAAAGCCAGAGGCCATATACCTTAGGAAAACAGAGGCTAATAAAATGGAGAGAAGAGCAAAGAGAGGTGATATTCTCCTGCCACCTCCTGAGGGTGCATCTACACAAACTCATGGGCAAATTTGGCCCTCCAGGTGTTTTGGACTTCAACTCCCACTCTTCCTAACAGCCTCAGGCCCTTTCCTTCCCCCACCCCCCTCAGCCGCTTAAGGAATAGTGGGTGTGGAAGTCCAAAACATCTGGAGGGCCCAAGTTTGACCATGCCTGATCAACCCTGTAGGATCAATGCAGTTTGACAGAACTCTGCCTGCTACTGCTCAGTGAAGTGAGATCCTGGGCGTTGTAGTTTGGTGAGGCACAAGCACTCTTTGGCAGAGAAAGACCTTGTAAACACCACAACACTTGGGGTTCCATAGCATTGAGGCAAGGAAGACTAATGTGGCACCAAACTGCATTGGTTCTCCATTGTGAGGGGGGTGAGAAGAGCTCTGGGCCATGAGGAAACTTCCATTGGAGAGAAGGGAAACTTCCTTAGAAAGCTTCCCGCTTTCCTAAAGGAGGTACACCCCACGGTGGGCTTCAAAGGGGGCAAAGGGCCGAGGTTGGAAGATCCACTCCCCAGAAAGGGGGGGGGGTCGGGGAGCAGAGAGGGAGGGGTTTGCGCCCTCCTCCCTGGGCTTCCTCTTTCTCTCCTCCTCCTTCCTCTTGGCTTTCCTGGAAGTAGCTGCTTTGCATCGCCGGCGGCGAGGAGGAGGGAGGCAGCCTCAGGTCCGGGAGATCGGCGGCATGAGGCGGCTCTGGTGGGGCTCCTTCTCCTCCTGGTTCTCCTCCTCCTCTTTCTTGGGCTGCACCAGCGACTGAGGCTCCTTCCTTCCTTCCCTTGCCCTCCTTCCCGTGCATGGGAGTTCCCAGGCTCTGCGCCGGCTCGCCCCTCCGCTTCTTCCTTTCGCTCCGGAGCAGAAGCGCCTCCGATTCGGGCAGGTAAAAACTCTCCAGCAGACAAGAGGGAGCCCAGAGTTAGGCAGGTCTGTGCGGACGCTCCGTGGCATCTTTGGGGGCAAGAAGGGGGCGATCGGGGGCAAAAGGAGGAGGGTGGAGGGAGAAGAAAGTGGTCAGAGGAAGGGAGGAGGAAGCAGGGGCAGAAAAGGGGATCGGGTAGCTGGGAAAAAGTGGAAGGGACTGAAAAGAAAGGCGAGGAAAAGAGAAAGGAAGGAAGGAGAGAGAGGCATTCATTCCTCTGCCTTCAGCAAGGTCCTCGCTCCAAAGAGAAGGAAGGAAGGAAGGAAGGAAGGAAGGAAGGAAGGAAGGAAGGAAGGAAGGAAGGAAGGAAGGAAGGAAGGAAGGAAGGAAGGAGGAGAAAGAGGCAGAAGCAAGCTTCTCTTGAACCCTACTGTTCCTGACTGTGGAGGTCCCCAGAAACGGGATGGAAGGAGAGAGAGGCACTTGACCACTTTGGGAAGGTAGGAGTCCCATGGGCAGCTTTCCTCCAAAGACAGGGAAGGGAAGGAAGAGAAAGAGGCAGAAGCATGCTTCTCTTGAGCCCATCTGGTCTACTGCTCCTGAATATGGAGATTCCCAGAAACCTCCATAGGAAGAAGAGAGGAGCACTTGGCCACTTTGGGAGGGTAGGAGTCCCATGGGCAGCTTTCCCCCAAAGAGAGGGAAAGACAGATTGAGAAAGAAAGAGAGAGAAAGACTCCAAAGAGAGGGAAGGAAGGATAAGAAAGAGACAGAAGCACACTCCTCTTGAACCTATTTTGGTCTCCTGCTCCTGACTTAGAAAGGTTCCCAGAAACCTCCATAGGAAGGAGAGAGGGGCACTTGACCATTTTGGGAGGGCAGTAGTCCCATGGGCAGCTTTCCCCCAAAGAGAGGGAAAGACAGATTGAGAAAGAAAGAGAGAGACTCCAAAGAGAGGGAAGGAAGGAGGAGAAAGAGACAGAAGCACACTCCTCTTGAACCTATTTGGTCTCCTGCTCCTGACTTAGAAAGGCTCCCAGAAACCTCCATCAGAAGGAGAGAGAGGGACTTGGCCATTTTGGGAGGGTTGTAGTCCCATGGGCATCTTTCCCTCAAAGAGAGGGAAAGACAAATTGAAAAAGAGAGAGAGAGAGAGAGACTCCAAAGAGAGGGAAGGAAGGAAGAAAAAGAGGCAGAAGCATGCTTCTCTTGAGCCCACCTGGTCTACTGCTCCTGACTATGGAGATTTCCAGAAACTCTTTCCAGGAAAGAGAGAGGGGCACTTTGCCACTTTGGAAGGGTAGTAGTCCCATGGGCAGCATCCCCCAAAGAGAGGGAAAGACAGATTGAGAAAGGGGGGGGGGGAGGAGAAAGAGACTCCAAAGAGAGGGAAGGAAGTAAGAAGGAGAAAGAGACAAGCATGCTTCTCTTGGATCCATCTGGTCTACTACTCCTGACTATTGAGGTTCCCAGAAACCTCCATAGGAAGGAGGGAGAGGCACTTGGCCACTTTGGGAGGGTAGGGGTCCCATGGGCAGCTTTCTTCCAAAGAGAGGGAAAGACAGGTTGAAAAAGAGAGAGAGATTGAGAGAGAGAGAGAAGTGCATCTTAGCTCTTAACTCATCCTGGTATCCTGCTCCTACCTATGGAAGTTCTGAGGGCCCTTTCACACAGCCATATAACCCAAAATATCAAGGCAAGAAATCCCACACTATCTGCTTTGAACTGGGTTATCGGAGTCCACACTGCCATATATTCCTGTTCAAAGCAGAAAATGTGGGATTTTATTCAGCTGTGTGGAAGGGGCCGGAGTCCACACTCAGACAATGTGGGATTTTCAGCCTTGATATTCTGGGATATAGGGCTGTGTGGAAGGGCCCTGGGTTATCTGAGTCCACACTGCCATTTATTCCAGTTCAAAGCAGATAATGTGGGATTTTATTTAGCTGTGTGGAAGTGGCCTGAGAGAAAAGGTAGCCACAGGAATTGATGAGAAGCTTTCAACCCATTTGTTGGTGTATTTGCTCAGAAGTTGGTCCTGTTGATTTCTGTGGAGTGAAGGATGGAAGGAAAGGCAGCAGAAAGGGATGGGGGCAGAAGTGTGCTGGAAATGACTTATTATGAATGGAAAGGAGAGAGCTTTGGAGATGGGAGGAAGGATGAAGCTGAAAAGCCTAGACAGTGTCGTGCTCGAGTGTAGGAGGACAAAACGGGAGAAATGAAGAGCCTCCTCAATGTCTTTCATCCAGAAATAGAGTTCTTTGATACCGTCAAAAGATTAACACATTTATTAAGACATGAAGAACTTAACAGTAGTGTGTAGATGATAAAGTGTTACAACCCATGGAGTCAAATACGAGCAAGAGCAGGATGATGGTGGAAGGAAAAGAATGAGGCGAAAGTAGCCAGAGTGTTAAGACAGGTAAAAGGAGGAAGGCATCAGGTGGGGGGTTGTAGAATGATAGGGTGCATCTACATCAGTCATGGGTAAACTTTGACCCTCCATGTGTTTTGGACTTCAACTCCCACAATTCCTGGCCTCAGGTCCCTTCCTTTCCCCCCTCAGCCGCTCAGCTTAAGCGGCTGAGGGGGGAAAGGAAAGGGCCTGAGGCCAGGAATTGTGGGAGTTGAAGTCCAAAACACCTGGAGGGCCAAAGTTTACCCATGCCTGATCTACACTATTAATGCACTTTGATACTACTTGAACTGCCCTGGCTCAATGCTATGGAATCTTAGGAATTGTAGTTTCGGGAGGCACCAGCTCTCTTTGGAAGCAAAGGCTAAAGACCATGTAAAGCTACAGCTCCCAGGATTCCATAGCCTTGAGCCAATGCAGTTAAAAGTGGTGTCAAACTACATTAATTTTACAGTGTAGATGAGGCATGGGCTAACTAAGGCCCGGGGGTCGGATGTGGCCCCCTGTGTGCTTATCTCAGGCCCTCCTTATTTTCCTTGTCCTCTTGGCATAAGGACATCCTTATGCCAAAAAGACAAGGGAGGAAGGCACACAGCTGCTCAGAGCCCTCTGGAGTGCTCTCAGCCACCGTTTGTCTCACTCTCCTCCTGGAATTAGGACAGTGCAAGCAGGCCTATTCTTATTTATTTATTTACGACATTTATATGCCACTCTTCTCACCCCGAAGGGGACTCAGAGCGGCTTACTGTGTATGTGTGTGTCTACACACACACACACACACACTCTACATTATATTATTAGCATAGTACAATATCAGTATAATATATTACTACATTGTACTATACCATTATGTTGTAATATTATTAGTAATATTACATGTAATATAAAATATATAATTATAATATCATATTATTAGTATTGTATTACATTATGATATTATAAATATTATATTATATTATTAGCAGAGCACAGGAGACAAGGAACTGTCCCCTGGCCCCCTTTCTCTTCACCTATGCCACAAGGGTGGCTTGAAGAAGGCATGTGGCAGCTGAGAGCTTTCCAGAGCACTCTCAGCCGTCGCCTGCTTTGCCCTCCTCCTGGTATGCTGCTAAGTCAGTGGTTCTCAACCTGGGGTCCCCAGATGTTTATGGCCTACAACTCCCAGAAATCCCAGCCAGTTTACAAGCTATTAGGATTTCTGGGAGTTGAAGGCCAAAAAAAACATGTGGACCCCAGGTTGAGAACCACTGTGCTAAGAGAATAGCCTGAGGATCAGGAGAGGAAGATTGGGGCAGTTGCCACATTTCTTGCCTTTCTCCCAGCATAAGGAAGGGGTGAGCAGCCCAATCCTTATGCTTGGAGAACAAGTTGAGGAAGACTTCTGCCCTGCCCTTTCCTGGCTGTCTCCACCCAACATGTGCCCGGCCTCCTTGCCGGGCCGGCAGTGTGACCCCAAGGCAAAAACGTTTGCTCATGCCTGGTGTAGATGCACCCACAAATTAGGAAAGGACACCAAAATTATCTAGTCAACACTCTGCTAGTCCAAGAACCCACAACTGAAGCCTCTCTTAAGCCGTGGAACCTTGTTTAAAAATCTCCAATAAAGGAGTTTATCTCCATCTAAGGCAGTCTGTTCTGTAGTGTCCGGATTGAAGGAAATGTGGAAAGCATTAACAGCAGGAGAAAAACAATGGGAATCCTGGAAACTGAACAAATTCAATAGATTAGAAGACTTGGTGATTTTTTTTTTGCAGTCAGATTGGAATGTTGTGGGATCTGTTCATTTTCTTCCTCCCAGTGCCTTATCTTTCAAAAAGTTCCCTTTTTCTGATTAAATGTTGGGTTTTGCACTTTTGTGCTAATTTGCCACATAGATTGATGTGAAGTCAAAAGGTTAGCAGAGAATTACAATTTCACCATTGCTTCTCAAGCACGAATCCATTGGCATGACACTTTCCTTAAGAAAAAGAAACTGAAATCTTATATGCACTAACCTGGGAGTAAGTCCAACTAAAAGCATTGGGACTTGCCTCTGAGTAGACCTACAGAGTGGCATTGCCCTTGGAGGTATAAGAGCCTCTGGGAAGTTGACAATTGTGGTGGAGGCTCCTTGAAATTGAAATCTTATATGCACTAACCTGGGAGTAAGTCCAACTAAAAGCTTTGGGACTTGCCTCTGAGTAGACCTACAGAGTGGCATTGCCCTTGGAGGTATAAGAGCCTATGGGAAGTTGACAATTGTGGTGGAGGCTCCTTCTTTGGAGGCCTTTAAACAGAGGCTGGATGACCATCTGTTGGGGGTGCTTTGAATGTGATTTTCCTGCTTCTTGGCTGGGGGTTGGACTGGATGGCTCATGAGGTTTCTTCCAACTCTGATTTTATGAAGTGGGAGAGCAAGAATGTAGAAAACTGTACATAAAACACTTGTAGCTTCCATCTCTGGTTTCTGAGTTTATCCTTTCATTCATGGAACTAAAATGCATCCATTTTCCTTTGGGCATATATATATATGATGGTTTTCTATATCCATCTCTTTTCAGTAGGAGTGCTGTAGTGTTCACATATAACTTAAGTGAATTGTAACCTGAGCTATAATCTGTGGCTT